AGAGAGAGAGAGAGAGAGAGAGAGAGAGAGAGAGACGGGTTTGGTATTTCCCTCTCTCCCTGCTTGGTAGCAAAGGATAATTTAAATAGACATTCCTTCCTTCTATATCCTATTCCCCCATTCCTCTCTCTCTTTTTTATGTCTCTCTTGCTCTCATAGCTGACTGCTGACCCCATGTGTTGGCTCAATCTCTTGGAAATTTTCATTTTAATAGATGGTTTAACAAAATTACTCTCATCTGAGTCATTTTATCTATTTAATTAAACTATCCCCCTGATTAGCAGCACTCCATTATCCTTGCAAGGCCTCGAGATCACGTCACCTGTCCTTTGTATCTTCTGTAGCGTCTGCGTAGAATCATGCATGATCTTTGGGTTTTATGACATAAGAGACCCCTTTTAGCTTTTGACATTTGCATATAAATTACAGTCCTGGTCACAGACTTTACAGTTATATGGGGGATAAATTGCCAAATGGTTCCTCACTATCAAGGAGATTCTAAGCAGTCCCCTCCACTATCATCTCCCCATCTGATTTCAAACACTCTCCAAAGAGATGTAAATGACCCCGATGCCAGGCACCGATGGGCCTGGCTGACCAAGCAAACTAACACACACACACACACAAACACACACACACGCACACACACACACACAGTCAGCTCAAAAATTCACGCCTGGTATTGGCCAGTCCACCCAGAATAGAAACCCTCAAAAGGCATTATCCCAACATAATCTTTGCTCAGAAAAACCCTCTTCGTTTGAGACAACACTTTTCCAAGACTCTCAAGATTTTCCTCTTGAGTTTTGATTTTCCGGCAGTTTTTATCTTCAAGTAACTTCGATTCACTGTGGACTTTTCCTATCTTCAGAAGACCTAGAAGTAAACTTCCAGCTCACTCCTGACGAACTCATCAAAGACCTCCGTTATCTACCGCATCAGGACTCTTGTTCAGCAATCGAAGCCAATGCAAGTAACCGTTTACAATTATTTAGATGCGTGTTACGTTTCAGTCCCTTTTTAAGGTGATTTTTGATTCTTTGATGATTTTCAAAGGTTGTGGTTAATTGATGTAAAATACTGCCATTCTTTTATTTCCTCTCTCTTTTTCTTACTTTGTTTCATTCTGTATATATGTGTTTTGCTTAGCTAGTTATATGTTAGATATACTGTAGTTTCATTTATTAAATCCCTTATATTCACGATCGATTGCCTCTGTTTGTTGCTCACAATTCGAAGTCAATGAATGTTTTGAACCCTTGCTACATATGTTAAATTACTGCTAGCACTGCATAAATAAAAAAAGTTATTCTTCCTTGGCCAGGAAAATAATCTTTCTTTGAATTGATAAATGATTATTTTGTCTGCTCGGTGGACGGACAGATCAAGTAATGGTAATATTGATTCTGCTACAGTTAATTTGAAGATCTAATCTAAATATTTATTATTAATCATAACCAGTTATAATTAGTCATAAATATTTCCCTTTTGAGCTGATTTACTACACGTCCAATATTTATGGTCTGGGTCTTATATTCAAGGATTGTTAACCATTCAGAACTGAATTTAGAATGTCTTGTAAATTTGAATTTAATCAAATTAAAATTGATAGAGCATTAGCAAACAGGATGTAGAATTGCGATTTGAATTTGAATGAAAAGGAAGAGGAATTAAAATTTTTATTACGTTGTTTGAAAAAAAAAAAGCTTTTATGTTTGAAAGGCCTTATGGAGGGATGAGCTCATCTTGCTGATTGTCAAATATAACTAATCATTGTATAAGCTCTGTAATTGTACAATCCAGTTCCCTCATTTGGATTTATGCCCAGTCAACTGTGTTGAAGCCTCTATGAATTATTTTAATCAGAGTCGGAATGCAAACTTATCCTCCTCTCAAAGTCAGCTGTCACTGGAGGCTCAAGGGATGGAATATCCTAATAAGTGTGTCCTGTGTGCGAGGGCAGGTTCAACTGTACCTCTGCTCCCTCCAAACACTGGCAGAAAATCCCTCCCTGTTGACTCAGATATCAATAACCACACTCTTACTGTGCAAAGAAGAAAATGCATGGCTGTAAATGTAGTTGACAGAACAACTAAAAGTGCTGTTAAACATAAAACCCATTCTTTCCTGTTTTCATTCCCTATTGAAACAATTAATAGGTCATGCTCTTTTTTTAAATTATATTTTTTTAATTTAAGTTTGGAAAACTAAGGATTTTTAAAATACATTTTAAATGTGTATATTTGCCAAAAGTTTAGTTTGTGCATGCAATATGCATGCATATTGCTAGCTTGAAAACCAGCAGACACAAGCTAAAAGCTGAAGTCTTTAAATAAGCTTCATGATAAATGAGATGGATTGCAGGT